AAAATAAAATTAAGAACTGTGTTCTAATCTAATTTTGTTGAAATTGGCAAGCACAATTTCCCGCACATTTGATACCGAAGCTCTCTGATGTTTGATGTCTGCTAGCTTGATCATGTCATCACGAAGACTAATGACTAAATCCTTGGATGTGGCTATTAGATTGGAAAATTCTCCTCCAGTGATTGTTTTGGAATGAGAAATTTCGAGAATCTTCATTTTAGAAGCCTCGATTTGACGTTAGATGTTAAGCAATATTTGTTTGAGCATTGCACATTTATCTTGTTCCTTGATTAGTAGATTGACAGACTCAGATTAATTTTTCTTCAACTCTTCACATTTGGATTTGTTGGAATTCAACAATTCGATTTTTGTAGCATGAGCAAGTTCGATTTCAACATTCTTAGAATCTAGAGCTAGACATTTTTTCCTCAAAGCTCAACTTTCATTGAATAAATTTGTGACAGTGTTGACTTCTTCGTCGAATGCTTGAAGAAATTGCTCAAGTGGGATGACTTCAATTTTGTGTAAGATCTCTTGAACCTCTTATTTTTTTGTGGCGTCTCGATGATAGTCTAAAGAGATGAGGATGCAAGATCTAAATTCCTTTACCAAGTTCATAACATCAGAGCTCAGTGAGGGAGTGGATGAAGAGCTAACTGTAGTCTCAAAAACTTTCCCATGTGTTGTCATGAGTTCTAAGATGCTGAATGTGTCCCTTTTGATTTCATCTATAAAAATATTTGACTTTCAGAATAAGTTCTAGAGGAGGGACTTGCTAAAGAAAAATCAATAGTCTTGGGAGTTGGTTCTATTTTGGATGAAACTGCAACAATTTCAAGAGATTCTACAATGATATGTGTAAGAATTGTTAAATTTTGAAATGTTTTATTTTATTATGAAAAGGAATTCATGAACAAAGGGAATTGGATTGATACCTGGGATAATTGGTTTAGGTTGAATTTCGACTAAAGTAAGTTGACTTTTGGCAGGAGCGGGGTTGCTATGTACAATAGACATTTCTTATTTTACGTTAAGAAGTCAAAGTTAGTATTTGAACAATCGAAAAATGATTGAAAGAGACATTAAATAATGTTGTACCTTAGGTGGAGAAGTGGAGCGTGGTGGATCGGCAGAGACTTTAACTATAAATTCTAGATTGCTTGAACTATTGGTTGAAGTCTTTTTCTATAGAAATCAAGATAATGATGGTAAACACCAAATTATGTATTAAGGAAGGAGTTTGAGGGTTGTATAGAAGTTATATAAAATTTAATCTGGATTTTCTTTTGGATTCAACGGGTGAGTGGAGTGTTTTCCTCATCATCATATTTTGATTCAATGATGGTAGGCACTATGAGAGGAGTTGTGGTGGTAAGTGGTGCATATATTTGATTATATGAAATTTTTTAGTGTTGATGCAATTAAAGATTATACTTGTCTTGTGAATAAGTGAGTATTACCTGTACAGATGGATGTGAAGTGAAGGTCAAAAATGTCATTTCGATTTGGATTTTTTCTAGAATAACATACAAATTGATTTTGGGAGAGGTAGAATCGAGCAAATAAAGAATCGAGAATGTGTTTAGTAAAAGAAAGGATAAGATCATATTAAGAGAGGTGCGAAACCTTTTGTTTTCCTCTTTCTCTAGATTTTGGGACAGGTAGGAGTTGTGATGGGTTCGAAAGCTTCTTGTGTGGGTTCAATAATTTGGATGGAGGAAAAGATTGCAATAAGAATATTACAAATAAACATAAGAGAAATAAATGAAAAAAATGATAAATTCGAAAAAAAGAAGAAGAAGACTTCTCATCATAGGGAATATTATGTAAAATAGTGACATGGTCAATATGGATAAGTCAATGGGGTAAAGCTGAATCAGGTAGGTAAGGAAAGGATAATAAGACAATTTGGATATAGTAACGACTTTATTAAGTGGTTTTGGGTGTAATAATTCATGAGGAGATCTAAGTTCATGAACCCATTGGGATGTGTTAAAGGTTTAGCAACACCGAAAGAAGCAAGAGGAAAAATTGGTAAATTAATGGGACAAAATCTCTCAAAAAGAGTCTACCTAGTGGATTTATAGTTTTCCTATTTTCTCTATTTTGTCGAACTTTGTTTCTCAAATAATACACTACATTTCTAAAGGTGGATTCTAGTCAAAGAGGATCATAACACTCTTGATAATAATTCTCAAATGCAGTAATTTGAAGGTATTACTCATATTTACCTTTTGAAGTCTTTGTTTTGTCCTATGGAGGAAAGTTAGGATGAATGGTTATTCGAGATTTTAAAAAAGAAAAAGGTAGATGTTTTGAGGAGAACAATTGATCCCACCAGAAATCAAAATCAAAGGTGTTTACAAAGTTGGTTTCGAAGGGGAAAGGATGATATTGGATGGCTTATGTTGGCATTAGTTGTGAGAGGGTTTCTCGAAGGTTCAGATCATAATAAGTAATGCCTTTGGGAATGAGTTGGTGGAATCTTATGGTAAGTGTGGCTTGGCTGAGTCCAAATTTGCTTGAAAATTGTTGAGGGACATATGCAAATAATTGAACGTCTTTCATTTGAAATCTAGCAACCAACACTACTAAAAAATTGTCAAATAGTAACCGAAATCAGTAACTAAAAAACTTAGTTACTATCGGTGACCGAATCAGTAACCAAATTATTTTTTTTAGTTTAGTAATTGAAATAGTAACTGAATTTTCGATCACATAAAATAAGTTATTATTTCGAGTCACTTTATTATTTAATTTATTTTTTTAATTCATCTAATTAGTATCTAAATATTTCACTCACTCTATTACCCTCCCAAATTTCATCTTCTTCGCGCTGACAACCCTCCCAAATTTCATCTTTTTCACGCTCATAATTTTCAATTTGTGTAACCACACTTCGTCTCTCCAACCCCAATCCTTCACCCTTTTGTTCAACTTTGAAGTGATCTTTAACCCAGCCTCAAATGTCAACCTGACAACCTGAAACCCAACATCTGTGGTCTTACCTCAACTTCGATGACTTAAAATCCAACCCAGTGACCTTGAATCTCAAACCTCAGTGACCAAAATATCCAATCGAAACCCAAGCGACTTCGAACCTCAACCCCAGGCTCAACCTCGACGAACTCGAGGCCGAAACCCAACTCCGGCGACATCGAACCCCAATCTCAAGCCAAACCCAAATCGTCATGGTATGAAACCCAACGCAAACCCAACTGTCCTCGAACCTTAACTCAAACCCTCAGTGACATCGAACCCTAACCTCGACCCAACCCCAACGATCTCGAACACCAACCCTAACCCAAACCTCACTAACTTTGAATCCAAGTGACCTGAAACTATGGTGACATCAAACCCTAACCTAAGTCTTAGTGAGCTTGAACCTAACCCCAACCACCTTAATTCCAACCAAAACCAAGGAAACCTCGTACTAGAACCCTAACCAGGATGAACTTGAATCCTAACCCGATGACCTCAATTCCCATCCCAAAACTTCACGACCTCTATAAACACAATAATGCTTATTCAAACCATTTGAATCTCCTTATTAAATCTAGTTTTACATGGTATGTTTTTTCTATGTGTGATGGAGGGCTGGTGCTATGAAAGCAAATTTCTTACTGGATTACAAATTGGAAACTTGAGTAATAGCTCCTTTAGGTTGGTATTACTGAATCTTTAAATATAATTAAGGCCACAACGTTAAATTTGTCTCTAATAATATATTTTTGTTCCTTAATATATGAAATACAAGAGGCTTAATGACTTGAATGGACTTGATTCAATGTGAGTGAATTACTGTAATTGTCTTTTATTCTGTTATTTTCTTTGGCTGTTCTTTTCTTTGGGATAAGTGGTGTTGATTTTACAAGCCATAGAAATGCATATTGCTTTCAATCATTTAACGTATAGCTGAATTATGGACCTAAAGGAAATAGAAAACTCACTCAATATATTCATTTAGAAGTGGCATGAAGTGGAATTAGATTACCTGCCAAGTCAATACTACCAACACATAAATTATTCTGGATATAGGGTTCGTGTGAGAGACTACCAAACTAACCCCTTTCTTCTTTTAAACCCTTAACAAATTGTTTATGGATCTGTACTATGGACATTGGCAAATAGCTCCATTACATTAATGGGAGGCATTAACAACACACTCTCCAAAACTTGAAAGAAAATTATATGTAAACATTCATTGGGGCCAGGATGAGGGTGAGGGAGCAGAAAAAGACACTTACATGTATAACCAAAATAGGACATCTGATTGCACCAACTTTATGAATATTTTGAATAGAAGAAAAACAATATTTGTGTATGTATTATATTCAATTGGTTGTTTCAACATGCAAAAAGGGTGATTGTTAAGTTGAAGGCAATAATGTCACTCTAAAAGAATCATCAACAACACCATAGTATTCTACATAAAATTTTGGAGGCTCATTATGCACATAAATAAAAGTTTCTTCAATGCAGGTAAACATTTAGCTTTAAAACTATTTAAAGAGTTTAAATATTGTCCCTTTACATTCATTAACAAACCCGAATTGTTATAGAATTAAGAATGTTAGGTTTATAATATCTTCTTTAAGGTCTGTTTTTAGTGATCAAGTTATGATAGGATATAAAAACATGACAAGAATGTAATAGAATAAGAACATGATAAATATTAATTTTATCCAACGTTTGATGCATACTAGATAATAAATCAAATAACATTATTTTGTTATATTGTCCTATATTTGACATAAACTACATATTAATTGATAACATTACCTTTTCATTAAAATTACATATAATTTGCAAATTCATGATTGTTATAGGTACTAATTTGAGAAGTACAAAATGTAAATGATGAGATATTAATAATGTATTTTTGTATACTTGCAAATTTTTTAAATTTTTGTACATGCTAATTTATCTTTAATATTCTATACTGATAGTATAATTTTGAATTGTAGCTTATCTAGGAACCTTAACTTAGTTCTTTATGTCTAGTAATTGTAGCTTACCTGGAAACCTTAACTTAGTTGGCAAATTTTGAATTTGTGATCCCCAAAAGCTAAGAATTCTTAACCCACAATGGATAAGCCATCATACCATATAGTAGTTAACAAATGAACCACCATTTTGTATGAATCTTGCAATCGAGAATGCCAAGTCTTCCGCTGGTCTAACATGGACTGCACCACCAAAATCAATGTACCTACAGAAAGGGAGATATGAAACTTAATATAGGACCAAAAGAAATCATCTACATGGTAGAATTTGTTGAGACTTACCAGCCAGTCCAATTCTCGGTCCACATTTTAGGTTTGATGTTCTTGTTGGGCTTGAAGTTTTCACAGTAGAACCTGTTGCAGGTGTCAATCTATATATACCATAGTCAGAAAATTAACACAGATCAGAGAGAAAGATCAGAGAGAAAGATCAAAGATGAGGGGAATTTATTTTCCTGTGAAAACACAAGCATTCCCTCATTAAGTAAACATATAATTGAAACCAAATCTTGCAATTTCTCAAATTTTCTTTTTCAAAAAGAGTAAAGGAGACAGAAGCAAATCAACCACTGCACTTATAAAACAACCAAAACAAGTAAGCAAGAGAAACGTGAAGTTATTAAAACCATTGTGATAAGCCGAAAGACCTTCCTTAAAATAAATAAAGGTAAAACTAACACAGTAAAAGGGTCAAATGGGCTTATGAGAGAACAGAAAAAAATATCATGGTATAGTAAAAGCAACAACCTTATCCCAACCAAAGCAGCCATAACACTGTTTACAAACCCCACCACCATTTTTAAATGGGTCACTAAAATTTAACAAAATAGAATAAGAATCATGAGGAAAAAGTCTAAGTCATCTTGAAATCCAACTCCACACACACGAAAACGTTTTTCAGGATGAAGAAGAAGTAACTTACAACAGGATCAGGAGCATCTTCTTGCTTGCACATAACCCATGGAACACCAGTGTCTAGACCAACAACCATTTGAGCAGCCCATTTCGTATATGCTTTTCCAAGAGCACCAATTTCCCATTCCACTGGTCCATACTCGTTTTCAATATGTCAATTCAATTATAAAACACCAAATTAAGCACCATCTTATTCTAATTGGCTCAATAAACTTTATAGTAAAACAAAAAACTGAAAATAACCAACAATACAAAAGATTATATACATATGTAGTCTTTTATTTACCTGTGACATGATTATTGGACCACCCTAAGATTGAAACAACTTATCTTTTTTCATCAAGTTAACAATTTTCGCTGTGAACTTTTGCATTGCAGCCTACACAAATGATGACGAAAGATTGTACGGTTGGTCATATGATTCAATAATTCATTAAACTGTTCTTAATCAACCAATAATAATAAGTCAATTGTTATAACTGGTGAGGCTCCAAAATGAAAACACCAACCTTGAACGGTTCGTTGTCCGTTCTGAAAGCAATTCCAGGAACATACTTGAGCCAGACAGGAAATCCCCTGAACAGAAAACAGAGCATGTAACCTTTGAGTGATTCCTGAGAATCATTATTTTCCTTCATTAAGCCAAAGATTTTTCCCTTCTCAAAAGGAGGTGTACATTCACATCATTAAAATCATTACCCCAAGTTCCATTCAGCACATACGTAGGGACCAATGCGGACATGAACATCTGCACTAGGTTCCGATATTACCATTTGAAAGATTATGAATTCTGATTAAGTATTAAATCCAGCTAGACAAATAGAATTGAAAAAGATTCAAATAGAAATTAAACAGAGAGTTTAAAGAGAAGGAAAAACACATTATCACCTATACTGCTTCACCCAAACCACTGGGTTATGTCCAATTCTCAACCAAAATTTCAGTTGAGTTTCTCTAGATTAAAATTTTTTTTAGTACAAAATAGAATTACAAAACAATCAACCAATAGCAAGAACCAAAAATCCAGTTCTTGAGCTAACCTGTAACCCAATTTCAAACTGTAGAACCAATGCCCAAACTTCCATGCATTTAGACAGTAATGAATTGAAAAAGAATGAAAGAAAAGACTTAGAACAATCAAATCTGGTTTATGCAAATGCAAAGATTCCACTAGATTGAGATTCTTCATTAGCAAGAACACAAGAATGCCTCAAAAGAAAACTTTGAAAATTCTTCATTAAAAGTTGCACACTTCTTTCATGAATAATCTCTATAATTGCTCGAATGATTTGTAAAAATGTGTATTTTAAAAGGCTCAAGCAAATCTATTTATATAGAGACATTTTGTAACTAAGCTGATTTATTTAATCGATTAAATTGTCTTGTCTTTTAATCAATTAATAATTCTTGATTCTAACTATTTTAACTTATGAAAATACTATTTAATCGATTAAAATGTTCTTCGTTATTTTCTATAATTATTTTAACTAATAAAAATACGTTTTAATCGATTAAAATATTTATCCAAAAAATCCTTAAGTGATTTTAATCGATTAATTTGAGTTTTAATCGATTAATATACTAGCAAAATATTTTCTAAAACTTCTTAAGTTATTTTAATCGATTAATTCAAGTTTTAATCGATTAAAATACTGACAGAACATTTTTCAAAACTTTCTTAAGTATTTTTAATCGATTAATTCGAAGATGTATCAGTTAAAATATTAGCAGAAGATTTTCCAAAACTTCTTAAGTGCTTTTAATCGATTAATTTGAAAGTATATCAGTTAAAATGATGACAGTACATGCTGTAAGTGGTTTTAATCGATTATTTCAAAAATATATTAGTTAAAATGATGACAGAAGTTTTTTTAACTATTTTTAATCGATTAAACTAGAAATTCATCAGTTAATTTTGAGTCTCAAGAACATATTAGCCAACTAATAAGATTTTGAACATATTAAAAGGTTTGGAGACATTATTAATTCTTTCTAATGATAGAATCTTAATCATTAGGAATTAAGAGATGATTATACCTATTAAAACAAGATGCAGATTCACTAATCACTACACCCCATAACCCATAAACTTTTTAACTTCAACAAATCTTCACTTATTCCAAAAATACTTTGACTTCATCAAATATTCAAGATCTTCAATCATCATAAAAAATCTCACATAACAAGAATTCGAACTATGGTTTAAGAAAGAATGGAACTGCTAATAGCCATAAGGAAATGTATTTGCATTACTTTTCTAGGAGAAGGTTCATGACCATTCCAAAAACATAGGTTTGAATGACATCAAGGCCTCCATCTTTGGCCTTTTGAATAAGGTCTGGCCACATCTGCAGTAACAAACATGATTTAAGATGCATGAATGAATGGAAAATCGAAAAAAAAAGATGGAAGAAATGGTTGAAAAACATTTTGATGCAGCCATGATGAAAATTTGGAGAGGAGCGTGTACTTGAGATGTGCTTCTTGGGTAGTGAATGGAGCCAAGCATTAAAAATTCTCCTCTTTCCATCGATCACAATGGCTTTGTGGTCATAAGTCACAGAGGTTGTGACACCACAAACCCATCTATTTTGTTTATAATTCTTGTAATTTTATATCTTATATGGATCACCTCTTTATTTAATTTTATTTTCTTTAGTAGTGTATGCATCAACTTTTCTTTTACATGACCCAATTAATACACATGATGGGTTATGTAAAGGACTTATGAATAAATAAGTTAATTCTAGCATCCTTGTTATCTATCTTTGTTAGCCATGCATCAAGAACATGTGAAAAATTTCCCTAAACTTGGTGATGAGAGGTGATTGGTTTAATCAGTCATTATGAGTTTGTTAAGGAATTGATGGAGTACTTGAATTTCTTATCTTTGTTATTATGTAATTGTGTGACAGATTTGTGTTTATATAATGTTGATTTATTTTTTAGTTAGCAATATAGTAGTCATTTATCATCCATCATTAACTATTATGGCTTTCATATTTGTATTTTTTTTTTATCATATAGGCAACTTTTCAAGTTGGGTTGCAATTTGGAAACTTCAGTAACAATATCTTCGTACTACTGGGCAATTTTGGTGGCAAAGGTATAACTTCTAGTAAGACCTATAAATTTAGTGTTAGAGATTTTAATGTAATTATGTTTTGGATAATTATATGGTATATTATTTATTAAAAAAAGTAATTTGAAACATGGATGTTCGTGAAAATCGTAGTTGGATGTATAATAGACTTGTACCTAGTCGAAAGGGGTATACTGATGCATTTTTAAATGGTGTGACTGAATTTGTGTCATTTGCTCTTCAACATGAAAACATGTCAAATGGAAAAATTAGATGTCCATGTAGTAAATACAGAAATAAGATCTTTTTAGATTCTAAAGATGTTTAAGTTTATCTTTATCGTCGGGGATTTATACTTGCATATTGGTATTGGACATGTCATGGAGAAATGGATCCAAATATGTGTGATATGAATAATATGTATCCAAATTCATCTAATAATGTACACGAGGTTCATAGACAAGACTTTGACAACATGGTTGATGATGCTTTAGGTGTAGAGTTTGTGAGTCATTTTAATGAAGAAAATGAACAGTTTCCAAATACTGAAGCAAAGAAGTTTTGTGATTTATTACATGCTTCACAAAAACCATTGTGGCCAGGATGTACTAATCACACTAAATTATATGTTGCTGTTAGATTGTTCACAATTAAATCAGAGGGAAACATGTCCCAACAATGTTTTAATCAAACATTGGCTCTTTTGAAAGAGATACATCCTGTAGATAATTTTATCCTAAAAGATTACTATAGAACCTTAAAATTGGTTTCAAAACTTGGTTTATCAGTAGAAAAAATTTATTTTTGTGTTGATGGGTGTATGTTGTTCTACTCAGATGAAGATAAACAACTATTTACATGTAAGTTTTGTCAAAATCCTCGTTATAAGACAAAAAAAAGTGTTGAAGAAAATGCACTATTTACCCCTCATTCCTAGGCTTAAGAGATTATATGCTTCAATGAGTTATGTTTCGCATATGAGGTGGCATTGTGAAAATAAGAGAAAAGAGGGACATTTGTGTCATCCATTAGATGAAGAAACATGGAAACATTTTGACAAGATATTTCCTAATTTTGCAATTGAACCAAGAAATATAAGATTAGGATTATGTTTTGATGGTTTCACCCCATACAGTCAATTAGGAAAGTCATATTCTTGTTGGCCAATAATTGTAACTCCTTACAATTTACCACCACAATTGTGCATGATTACTCCCTATATGTTTTTAACTTTAATATTCCTAGGCCAAAAAAATAGATGTATATTTGCAACCATTGATAGAAGAGTTAAAAATATTGTGGAATGAAGGTGTGTTGACATATGACATTTCTAAAAACAAAATTTGATCATGAAAGCTGCATTGATGTGGACTGTTAATGATTTTCCTGCATATGGTATGTTATCTGCTTGAAGTACAGTTGGAAGATTGGTTTGCTCATATTGTGTGAATAATTCAAAGAGTTTTTGGTTGGATAGTGGTCGTAAGTTTACTTGGTTTGATTGCCATCGTCAATTTTTACCTATGAATCATGCATATCGAAGAAATAAGAATGCATTTTTAAAGAATCGAATTGAAGATTCTCAACCTCCTTTGATATTTTTTGGGAATAATGTGTGGGAGCAAGTTGCTTATTTTACAAAAGTAACTAAGGAAGTACAATTTATATGTTATGGTTGTGGTGTATATCATAATTGGATAAAACAAAGCATTTTTTTGGAAGTTACCATATTAGAATTCCAACCTGTTAAAGCATAATCTTGATGTGATGCATATTGAGAAAATGTGTTTGATAATGTGTTTAATACAGTGATGGATAGCAAAGATAAGACCAAGGATGATATGAAGGCCAGAATGGATGTAAAAAAGTATTATCGGAGAAAGGAGTTAGAATTGCAACAATTACCTAATGGAATAGTAATAAAGCCTAAAGCACAATTTTCTTTATCTAAGGAGCAAAAAAGTGTTACCTATAAATGGATTAATGAGTTGAGAATGTCTGATGGTTATGCCTCAAATTTGTAAAGATGTGTAAACATAGAGTAAGGAAAAATTATTAGAATGAAAATTCATGATTGTCATATATTTATGGAGCAATTAATGTCTATTGCTTTTAGTGCACTATCAAATCAAATTTGGAAACTAATTGCTGAGTTAAGTAAATTCTTTAAAGATCTATGTTCAACTATTTTGCGAGTGGATGATTTATTATTAATGGAACACAACATTGCAATTACATTATGTAAATTGGAATGATTCTTTCCATCTACATTCTTCAATTCAATAGAACAATTACCTATTCATTTGCCTTACGAAGCAAGAGTAGGAGGTCTTGTTCAATATTGGTGGATGTATCCATTTGAGAGGTACTGCTTTTTAATTATTAAATTTGAACATGCATACTTGTCTTATTTGATATTATAATAACCATATGATGGTGTTGTATTAGGTTCTTGAATAAGTTAAAAAAAATGGTTAAGAACAAGGCACGTGTGGAAGGTTCACTATGTGAGACATATCTAGTGCAAGAGACTTCTCATTTTTTTTCATATTATTTTGAGACTCATATGCAAATAATGAGAAATAAAGTCAGTCGCAATGATAATGGAGGTGAAAATGTTGAACTGGATTATGTATCAACAATTTTTAATCATCTTGGTCGCTTTAGTGGAAGATCTTCATGTCGATACTTAAATAAGAAAGAATTAGAAGCTGCACATTTGCATGTGTTACTTAATTGTGAAGAAGTCCAACCATTAATCAAGTAAGCACCAAAATTCATTTTGGCATGCATTTTTCATGCATAAAACCACTAACACAATGTTATGTGTAAATGTTAGAATATTTGAACAATTTCTAGAAGCAGTGAATCCAAACATTAGTCGAAGAGAAATTTAGGCTCAGATTGCTTCCGATTTTCCTAGATGGTTTCAAACATATGTAAGTTTTAAAAATATTTTGTAAATCAATCATAAGAACAATATTGTGCTTCCGATTATGTTCTCACATTGACCTATTCATTCATACTATTTTATCATTCGTTTAGGTTCATGATAGGAACAATATGGTTCAAAGTCAATTTTTACATGACTTAGCATGGGGTCCACGAAAAAAGGTTTTTACATGACCTATTTATTTTGTTAATGGTTTCAAGTTTCATACGAAATAATGGAGCATTGGAAAGAAAACTGTCAATTGTGGAGTTTGTGTTAAAGGGGATGATATTGAAAATGAAGAAAGTTATTATTATGGTATCATTAAAGAGATTATGCAACTTGAGTACATAGGAGAACCAACAAAAGAACTAGTTGTATTCAATTACCAATGGTTTGATTCTAGAAGGAATCGTGGTGTACGAGTTCACAAGGAATATGGTATAGTGGAGGTTCATTATTGTAGAAGGTATTTGAATTATGATCCTTTCATACTTGCATTAAATGCAATTCAAGTATATTATATGCCTTATCCTCAAGAGGTTAAGGAAAAGGTAGATTGGTGGGTTGTAATTAAAACCAAACCAAGAAGTATGGTTGATGATCAATATACACTAGAGGTTGCCTATCAACACGGTCTTTCTAATACTCAACTTGTGTCAAATGATTAAGTACTTGGTCAATTAAGAGACGATGAAGGTGAACATGAAGAGCTAATAGAAAATGAATTACTTGATGAAAATGAACACAATGAATATAATGTGGAAGATGCAGAAATCAATGAAAAATAGTATGATGAGGAAAGTGAATTTGATGATGATTACAACTCTGATGATGATCAGAATGTTGATGACTCATATAAATTTGATGAAGAAAGTGATGTTAATGTTGTTGATGATGATTATTATAATGATGATGAATGATTTTTGTATTTTCATTTTGGTGTATTTAATAATTATAAGCACACTTAATAATGTTCCCATCAAATTATTTTGTTGTTTCAAACATTTCAATAAATATGTTATTGTTTAATTCATTACTATTACTTATTAAATATATGCAATTTGCTTACATATTTTTGTTGTTTTTTGTTACATGTGTAGATATCAAACAAAAGAAAAATCAAGCTTATTTTAAAAAGTTATTTGATGAAGCATCAATTCAATCAATTACCAAGAAATAACATAGTTGGACCATGAATTGGACATCCATTAGCTGCAACTATTGCAGAACATGTTAGTTCTACCCCTTCAATACAAAATAAGTCTTCTGAAGTCCCTTCTGTTGGACCACATATTGGTCGTACTCCACCACTTGGAGGAAGTTCTAAATCTTTTCCATTTACTTCTCCACCATTAGGAGCACAATCACTACATGAGACACCTTCCCCACAAAGTCTTCAAGCATCTAACCCTCAAACTCAAGACACATTTGTTTCTCATGATGATCACAATGTATTATATGTTCAGAGTAGTTGTGATAAACCCATTTTAACACTTGATGGATATGGGTAAAT